GGGGTCTCGCTCTTGCTCAGGCTGGTCTCGAACTCCTGAGCTCAAGCAATCCTCCCGCCTGGGCCTCCCAGAGTGCTGGGATTACAGGCGTGAGCCACCCGCGCCCGGCCGGAGTTCTGTAAATTTTTACTTAGTCCGGTGGTGTAATCTCCAAGGTTGTCAGAAACCTGGACGCAAGAGCGCTCGTCAGGGTCCTTTCCGTGAATCTCTGGAAGAAGCAGATTTGTGGCCAATGGCAAACCACTGTTTGAGAACAATCAGAGTGAGACAGTAATTGTAGGTGGCCAGAGACTCAGAGTGGCCTTGGTCAAAGCTGCAATTAACGGGGAAATTTGGTTATTTCTGTGGCACTCCACACATGCACGGAGAAACAGCAAGAACGCCAGAGAAGGGGAGGTGAGCGTGGCAGGACTGGGGGACACGAGGAGCTCTCCCAGTTGCTCAGTGGGATGGAAAAGGGTCTTTGGAAGGTGGGGTGGGGCAGGAGTTCCCTCAGACTTCTGGTGCCTTCCATCCCCAGCCCGCCCTGCCCTGCGCGGCCCAGGCCTTGCCCCGCGCTCTGGCCTTGGCCCACGAGCGGCGTCGTCCCCTTTCTCTTTCCAGACAGCCGGTCTCTGATGCCCCTGGTCTGCGTCGGCCTCCTGGCTCTGACCCCCCTGTGGCTGCTCGTCGCCAAGCAGAGCCCGCCTGTCGTCAAGATCCTGAAGTTCGGCTGGGTCCCCATCGTCCTCGCGATGCTCGTCAGCAGGTGCGCTGGGCCACGGCCACCCCCTCCGCCGCCTCCCTGGGAGCCACGAAGCCCTGAGCACGGGTGACGCTGGGGGCCTCGGGGTCTGGGGCAGAGTGAGGTGTAGCCGTGGGCTCCGTAGGAACCCCAGGACTGGCTGGGTCAGACCTTTCCACTTTCCTCTTCCTTTCACCACGAACCCCGGGCCTCATTCATCCTCAGAGAGGGCACCTTGTCCACACTTGCCACAGCAGCAGGGGGACAGGAGGCGGCGGCGCTGGGAAGGTCCGGTGAAGGTCCTGCCTCCCCTTCGCGGTGGTGCCACGGGACCCCGCTCTCCGTCCGCAGCTGCCAGAGCTCTGCCGGCCCGACCTCATTGAGGCCGCGGCCGTGTCATCCGCTGGTCACTCCGCACAGCACAGCTGCCGTGGGGTCTGACCCCTCGACCTCAGGCCCTTCCGCTGAGCCCAGGCCCTCCACCCTCCAGCCCTGTTCTCGGGGCCCCTCTCCTGCTCGTGCACTGTGACTCCCCACTCCGTTCTCCTGCGTCCCCCTGGCCTCGACTCTCAGGGAGGAGAGGTAGCGTGGCCGTCTTTGCCTCCGGAAGGCGCCCGGCTCCTTGTACGACTTGACCCAGCTTCTCCAGGGCTCCGAGAAGTCCCCAGGGCGGGAGAGCCTTTGCAGCCCACGGCGCACGGGCAGCATTTTCCGAGAACAAAGGGTGGGCACGAGGCAGCACTCGTGCCGGCTCCGTCTCACCGAAGAGCATCTTAGTGCAGTTCGGGAGGCGTCACGGGACAGGGCCCAGCCGGCCACACGGCCTCAGAAAGGCGGGCACTCGTGTGTCTGGTGACGGGCTGACGTTCTCGGATGGCTTCTGGAGCAGCCGAGACCCAGATCGGAGGTGGGGATGGGCAAGCTCGAGTCGGGTGCAGAGGACACGGGGGTGCCAGGCCGGCTGTGGCGGGTACCGCCTGTCTGCCGAGACCGGGGATCCTGGCCGATGGGGGCCCCGCGAGAGAACCCCTGGCCACTGGGCTGCGTCTGCTTTCTCCCCAGTTTCGGAGGGCTCATCTTGAGCAAAACTGTCTCTAAGCAGCAGTACAAAGGCATGGCCGTGTTTGCGCCCATCATATGCGGTACGTGTTTGAGGGGGCCCCTGGCCTGGGTTGGACCTGGGCAGCAGGCTTCAGAGGCAGGTGGGCAGCCGACCTGCGGGGGCTGTGGGGCTGGGTTTGCTCAGCGGGAAGGAGGCCCGGGGGAGGAAGCCCCACACGCTGCTCTTAGCAGCTCAGACCTCAGAGCATGAAACC